CTTTGAATTCATTTTTTTTTAAATTTTTTGTTCTTTTTAGTTATACATAATGGTAGAGTATATTTTGACATATCTACAAACATGAAGCATGACTTATTCAGATTAGGATCCCAGTCTTGTGGATGTACACGATGTTGAAATTCACTGTGATGTATTTATATGTACTCATAGGAAAGTCATGTTAGCTTCATTTCACTGTCTTTCCTATTCTTATGGCCTCTCCCTTCCCTTTGTTTTCCTTTGTCTAATCCACTGAACTTCTATCCCCCTCCCCCATCACCTTGTTGAGTGTTAGCATCCATACATCAGAGAGAACATTTGGTCTTTGGTTTTAGGGGATTGGCTTATTTGAATTAGCATGCTAGTCTCCAGATGCATCCATTTACTGGCAAAGGTCATAAAGTCATTCATTTTTATAGCTAAGTAATATTCTATTGTGTATATATATACCACATATTCTTTCATCCATTCATCTATTGAAGGGTACCTAGTTTGGTTCCATAGTTTAGCTATTGTGAATTGAGCTGCTGTAAACATGGATGTAGCTGTGTTACTGTAGTGTGCTGATTTTAACTCCCTTGGATATATACTTAGGAGTGGTATAACTGAGTCAAATGATAGTTCCATACCTAGTTTTTTGAGGAATCCTCTACTGCTTTCCAAAGTGGCTGCACCAATTTGCAGTCCTACAGCAGTGTATGAGCTACACTTTGAATTGAGATCCTCCCTCCCCCCACCCTCCTGCAGAGTGCTATAACAGGACATTAGAGCTGAGTAGCTACTGACTGGTGCTGATATTACATTCTAAAATAAGATTCCAAGTAACTTGGGTAATTGCTCATTCATGTGCAGTGAAGACTTCTCTGCCAAGGACTTCATGTTTCCCAGGGCAGGGCTTCTCATCCCTCTCTTGGAAGGACAACCACCTGGGAGTAGAGCTAAGAGAGGAGAAAGTTGGGTTGTGACTGCTCTCAGATTGTATGCCCACGATGAATCCCTAACTCTGTCACGAGGTGCAGTCAGGTGCCCACCTCCACACGTATCCTGCAGTCTCTCCTAATGGGATTTCTTTTCCTCTTTGCTATTCAAATATCCTTTGAGATCATTTTCGAATGGATTTTATTCTTATGAGAAGATGTTTTTGGGAAAAAGGCGTTCAGAGGCCCAGCACCCCTTGAATTCACCCATGTGTGAGGAACTCCCTCTCTTTCCCTTCATATGCACAGCATCTGACTGCTTTAATCAATCAATAGATTGCCCTCCCGGTTCATTTCTTGCACTTCAGCTCTTGTTTGGCTTAATTGGATCTGAGTAAAGGAGATAGTGCTTCACAGAACCTTAAATATGATATGTGCAGAAGTTTAAGGATGCTGTTCTTTGAAAATGGATCTATCTAAATCCGCTCATAGGTGCGGCTCTCATTGACCGAGCTGTTAGTGTGTATCTCAGTTACAACTGTTTACCTGGAGCCTTGAACTTCAGTACCGCCACTGCCAGCAATATAGTTTGAGACCTGCATTTTGGGAATTGCATTTGGCTTTGGGATTCCAGGGTTGCAGTGTGAACTAGTGAAGCTCCTCTATGCTCAGCCAGCTTCAAAAATCAGAGTAACCTCAAAACAAAGTAAGAAAACATGTTTTGGTTCCAGTCGCTCACTTAGACCTGTAAGTTCCTCAAAGAAATACTATGGGAATAACATTGAATTAAAGGTTCATTTCAATCCCTTGGGCCCTAAAAGATCTGGTATTGCTAGGAAAATAATGATTCTGGAAACCATCTGTTAAAGGGAAACACAGTGAAGGGGATGAGGTTACTCACCTTCATGGAGATGCAGGTTTGGGGATTTTGAGGTCCTCAATGGAAAAAAAAAAAAAAAAGATACAAGAAAGGAAAAGCATTCTGAAACCAGGTGCTTCTCTAGCCTTTTTCTTTACAAACTTTTCTTTTTTTTATGAAAGGTAAAGGAAACATAGCTTTCATGTGGGGTCTCGGGTAAGTATTTAGGGCAGTGATATCACCAAATTATCTCTTTGGTCTTTCAGAACAGGCTTAAATGACCTCAAGTCCACCTCTGCCCTTAATAGTTGACCCAGAAAACTCTCTGAGAGGCTGAGATGCAGAAGAAGGTAGATGTTTCACAAAGCTGTTACTCACCAGTCATGCTGGGAAAATGGGCTAAATAAATCCCGTTTGGGGGGTATACTCCCGAGGTGGGAACACCTAAAGGACAAAAAACAGGGAGTTTCAGGATGTTAAAACTGGAAACATTAGCAGCTTGGTGTCACTACAGTTATAAACATTCTTATTTAAAGTCAATTAAGATCGTGGTAGTGGTGGGTTTTATTATTTAGACACTCCTGGTTGGTTAAGAGGTTGGAACTGGACTAGATTATGAGGAGAGTCACCACTTTTCGGAAGCCAAATGAATGGCACCACTAGATGGCACATTTCCAGCGGGAGGGGATCCTCATGAGTACCAAGGTGTCTCAGAAGCATCTCTGTTGTGGACACCCTATGCATGAGCACATACCAGCACTGTTGACATAGAATTTAAGATACTGGCTTCCTGAAGATGCATTTCTGGTGTGTTAAGCACAAAAAGAGTCATTTCATGGGTTTCTGTTGAGAGAGAGAACTGGCTATTATTCCTTCCTTGATGAAGATGGATTCTGAAAATGCAGGTGACTCAGATCTGCTTAGGTCATTTGTTCTCTGGACATTTAAAAAGCATTTACTCTCCAGCATAAAAGAAACAGTGCCAGGGAGAGGGAAGTTCACTGGATTAGACAAAGCGGAATGAAGGGAAGGGTTGGGGGATGGGAATAGAAAAGATAGTCAAATGAATACACATAACTTTCCTATGCTTATAAATGAATACACTACCAGTGAAACTCCACATCATATACAACCACAAGAATGGGATCCTAATAAGAATAGGTTTTACTCCATGTATGTATATATTAAAATCCACTGTACTGTGGATTTTTAAAATAACAAATAAAAATCTAAAAACTAAAAGAAAAAAAAGAAATTCATATTGAAATGCAGAATTGTTTTTAAAAAAGTAAAGCAACAAAAAAATAATAAAAATAAAAAATAAAGTGACTAGCAGAGCCATTCTGGAGCATATAACCAGTTGCTCCAAATAGATCTTCCCCTCAACTTTTTCTACATTTTCAAGATTAATTGAGGTCTGTTCCTTTAGTTCCAGCTGTGTAGATAGGAAATATATAGAGGCTTTCTTAAAACATGCCATAGAAATTTTGTCCTAGCAGATAGTTGTAAAATTTTTTTTTAAAAAATGTGGCAGACGATTTATCTTTCCCCTCATCTAATATATAACCCATAAATTATTGCCTGTACCACGGAGAAAAGGTTTTTCTATCATCTCAAATATTCAGATTTTCATGCTTTCAGAATTTAACTAACAATGTTGTCTAGCCCCCTGAAGTGAAAAATACTTCTCTCCATGAGAGCAATTGAGAGAGACACTGGTGTAATTGATATGTCAATTTTAAGTGGTCCCGGAGAATATTTTCACAAGCACTTGAACCTAAAGACTGATGGAGATCTTTAAAAGGCTCACTATGCCTATAATTTTGAATTGCTATAATATTATTTACTCATTAGCCATATCCAATTCCTATCTTGAGAAAACTTAGATACTTCATGCAAATATATTTTTGCTAATGGCTTATTCATAAAAGGAAGACTTCTCACCTCTGCGCATATCCTGGGGATAATTGCAATACATGTTTGTCATTTTCTATGCAGGGTTTTTGTTTTTGCTATTGCTTTTTTTAAAAAAAAAATTGTAGTTGTAGTTGGACAGAAGGCCTTTACTTTATTTGTTTATTTTTATTTGGTGCTAAGAATCAAACCCAGGGCCTCATATGTGCTAAGCAAGGGCTCTGCCACTGAGCTACA